GGGGATTTTTAAAATTATATATATATACAGTGGTGAGTGCTTTACCACCCGGCTTTTTAACGTAAGAGATAGAAAACACAGTTACCTTGTGAAATAAAAAGAGATGAAACTCGTAGAGGTGGGAAATAATCGATAGAAACCTATAATTTACATTACATTGCATTAACACTATCGATAGTCTCACACCTTTAGACGTTAGCTTCGAGCTATATCACCTCGGTCATAATTATTATGTGTGACGTCGTATGTGTGACGTATTTCAGTGACATTTTTTAATTTCGCATAAAGTAAAAAATGGTTGATCACAATAAAGCAAAAAAGGTAGGAGTTTCATACACTATTGACACGGAAATAAACATCAGTCCTTTGTGGATTAGTGGTAAGAATTCGACACTGCAACGCAGAAGATTAGAGTTCAAAACCCACATGTGGTTTTCTTTTTTTTTTTAATAATTTGAAATTGTGCAGAGATCGTTTTGATTTGAATCACTAAACATTTATGTCAGTCGTTACTAGTATTAGAAGTGTTTAAAGTTAAACATAAATATCTTTTTGAATTTGAATTATTTTGTATTTCCGTTTTATAACATTGAAATAAGAATAAATTGTAAATAATGAGTTTTTCGAAAACTTGTTACCTAATATGTATCATATTTTCTATTATTTTTTAATTGAGTAAAACAAAAATTTTATCCTTGGTGTGAATTGAACCCCGATCTTTTTGTCAATAGATCACGTGTCTAAGTATTACACCAACTCCACGTACAATAACTGTTTTCGGACAGAACATACCTACCTTTAGTTTAGTCAAATATTTCAGTTGAGTTATTTTTATTATTAAATAAACTTAAAGATTTATAATTTAAAATCGCTACTAATTAATGTTTTTACGTTAATTCTTAATTTATTGAATCATTTATTCTTACATCAGAAATTCTTAAAATAAAATATTTTCGCGGTCATCCGTATAATTATGACTGAAGTCAAATAGCCACGTCTGTGAACTAGCTTTATCTCATTCTTTCTCACAAAATCCGTCTTCTATCCTTTCCGCTATTTTGCCGGGTTTTAAAGCGACTTAAACACTTCTAATACTCTAATAACGTCTAAAGGTGTGAGACTATCGACGGTGGTAATGTAATGTAATGTAATGTAAATTATAGGCTTCTATCGATTATTTCCCACCTCTACGAGTTTCATCTCTTTTTATTTCACAAGCTAACTGTGCTTTCTATCTCTTACGTTAAAAAGCCGGGTGGTAAAGCACTCATCACTGTATACTAGCTGACCCGGCAAACGCCGTTTTGCCTTATAAATTATTTCTAGTTTCTAGATAAATTCTAGTGTGGACAAAAAGTTCCTTACTTATTATTAGTGTGTATGTGGTATATGCGTGAAATGGGCGAGGAGCGCTATGAACGATAAGGGAATATAAAAATAACAAACGCCAAACAATATTATTTTCAAGTTATTATAGTTTATTACTTAAAATTACATATCACATATTAATTACGATAGTAACCCTAACAAACAAAATCAATCTCTTAATGCTATAGCGTGAACAATATTTTTTGTTAGCCCATCTTTAGCGAGCACAAACAACTGGATCGTTTACCCACTCTAAAGCATGCTACGTACAATTGCCCGTGTGAAAAACATGGTATACTCAAATCTAAGCCACAAATAGACATCGTTAGGCCTTGGGATTTGTTGATAGTCATTGCAAATGCCAATCTAGTCGGAAACTGAATTCGTTTTAATTGAATTGGCACATCTGTAGCTATGATAGGAATCCGTGGTATTAATATATTTTCACCTTTGAACTTGCCATTTAAAATGCTGGCTTCGATACCGTTTTTTATAAATTTTCGAATGAATAATCGCGTACCGTTGCACAGCCGTGCGGGTTTAAATTACGAAGCAAGATAATTGGAGATCCAGCTTTCAATTGTAAATTATGCGGTGGCATGCCTGGCAAATCCAGTGAGTTCACAAATTCTGTGGGAAAATTGACAGCTTCTGTGTGTGTACATTAGGAAATATTTGTTCAATGAGAGTATCTTGCGAATCAGCGATTGTGCAGAAATCGGTCGGTAATTTTACGTATTCAGTTTCATCTTGTAACAAATTTTATGTTGTTTCCCGCGTTGGGCGCCACTGTAACAAATAGTAGCTAGATCACTTGGGACAAGGTCCCTTATGTTATAAGAGCTGTAGAGTAGTGTGAAGATAAGTTGGAAACTAAATTAAAATAAAAGTTGAAACTGAATGCAGTTCGGCTAGCTGGGTATGCTTGAGACTGGCCAGTTGATACTCAAAGTAGGGTTAGGCCTATTTGCATGACCTGAGAAAACAGTAAAGAATAGAAAAGATGTATATTAACTAAGAAAATATAAGAATAACCAAAACGAACTAAGAGTAAGTACTGAAAACCGGAATATAGGAAAGAAGAATGATTTGGGCGCCAGGGAAGATGTTTACTGAACTCTTAGTCTAACAAACACTTCACCCAGTGTCTTTATTGCTGCTGCTAACTATGCTTCTATAACTAGATATCACCTTATTAAAAAAGAAGGTGGTTTAATAAAACAGATTATTACTTATAACCCAATTTAATAATAATAAAATAAAAAATCTGTAAACCCCGTAATGTACAATCTTATATACTAAAACGCTAAGCCCTTTTCTTGTCCACCACGTTACTCAAAAACCATATTAGATAATTAAAATATTTTTTCGGAATATTATTAGTATTACGTATGAGATCGTCAAGATATACTTTTGGTACAAAAATTCACTTCCGGTTTTGAGATGACCGGAAGTTAAAATTTACTTTAAGTTTTAGACCCCACAATGTATATATGGATCGAAAGGTCTCGAGAGCAAAGGTCTCAAGGTCTCAAGATAGAGCAAATTTGACACCGGATTCATGATCAGCATGCAAAATTAACTGCTAAATGATATCCATGTCGACATTTGATGAACTAAAAATTGCATTCCGGTTTTGGGGTCGACTTCCGGTTTCATTTTATTAAAAAGTAAGAAGTAAAAGTTTACATAACTCCCGGTGCCAAGCAAAAGTTTTCAGAAAATGGAGACATTGTAACAAAAAACATTGTTTTCGACGAAATATTTCGTGATATTTAATACACTTTTTACTTGCATTATTATTGATGATATATATATATATATATATATATATATATATATATATATATATATATATATATATATACAATATTATTTACATACCCTAATTTACCAGAAAACTATGAACTTATTTTATGAAGTTTTATTCATGAATTAAATCAAAATTTAATGACAACCAACATTTCTATACATTTAAACAAACTACAACCCCTCCCTATATTTAACACAATGTATCAGTTTGATCAAGTGCTACATATGGTCCATCTTGCTTTATGGCATGAAAACGTGGACTTTGAAAAAAACTCTATCAACAAACTTGAAGCATTTGAAATGTGGTCATTGAGAAGAATGATGCGCATACCTTGGGTGGATAGAGTCCGAAACGATGACGTCCTTAATAGAGCCGGCGTGGAAAGAGAACTCTTTGAATTAATTAAAAAACGCAAGATTGGTTACCTTGGGCACATATTGAGAGGAGCAAAATATGAAATACCACAGTTAATTCTACAAGGGAAGATCGAAGGTAGGAGAGGAGCCGGCCGCAAACAATTGTCCTGGTTAAGGAATATTAAAGAATGGACAGGAATACACAATACAGGTGAGCTGTGTCACGCCGCCAAGAACAGAATTCTAGTAATGAGATAGTCGCCTACGCACTTTGGTGTATGGCATGTTAAGAAGAAGATCAGTTTGACAATTTCTAAGTTGATTCCAATCAGATAACCTCTAAATGTATTCCAATTGGTCTGTTCAGAAAGGAACAGATCCAAGATGAATCGGTGATGTTACCAGTAGGGCTGTAGAAATACAAAATGGACCTTTGTGCACAAATGACCTTACAAAAAAATTGTATTATAATCCACCCCTACCCTGTTATAACTAATACATATATATTTTTAAAATATTCAATGATAAAAATAAACAAATGATATTAAGAAAAAAAAGTTGAATGTTATATAAATAATGATACGAAAATATGAGTTAAGAAAATTGACTAAAATTATTATTAAGTTTTGGTTCGTTCACTAACTAAAGTTTAAACAAAATTTAAGGTAAATTATTTTAAAAATAGTAGGAAACAATTAAAAAAGGAACCTGACGACTCTCAAACCGAGAAGGTTCTTCTTCCGGACGCCTTACGTCACTGGGACTCGTAAGGGTGAAACCTAGAAGCACACTCTTCTAGTAGTAAACTGAACTGCTACTCCAATAACCGGGAAAACCAAAAAAAAAAATTCCAACTAAACTACATGGACTCCATTACCCCAAATTCAAAATATTCTTGATTGACTTTATATTCCTTTTTTCCTCTAGCGACCAACGCAACACTATTTCACTAATTAAACCAAAATCTTCTTTTCCCAAAAACTTCTAATCACAAAAAAAAATAAACGCCTTCTGTAACTTAAATTGACCTCTAAACAACTTAAAATTTGTCCTGCTAACTTGAAAACCACGTGCGCTGGCCGCTGGAGTCTCAATCCTGTGTCCCGTTCAAAGGTTGGATATAACGTCTGTTCTTATACACTTCTAAAATCGTTGGTTTCCGTCAGTTCCAAACTGAACGGAAACGGCAGGTAAGCAGTTTGACCAATTGATAATACCATTACATGTATAGTTGGTAGCATACCTTACAGGCAGAATTAAGTTATTTTAAATTTTTCAGAAACGATAAAGTACTCTTATCGTTACAATCTGTAGCAAATTTTCCATCACCGATATCTAAGAGTTGTTTTGAGAATGTTTCAGCAGATGGATCTTGAAGCATTTGAACGCGCATATTTACTTTCAGCTGTACTTTTTCAACATTACGCCACAATGGAGATGATTTTAAGCAAGTGTTGATCTCATCAGCGTATGTTGAACCCGAATGACGGGAAATATTTGTCTGAAATCACCTGAAAGCACCAACAGAGTGCGCCAAATAGTTTGTCGTTGTTTTTAATATCTTTCATTGTCCTGTTTAACGCCTCAATTGAATGATTGTGTGCCATAGTACATTCATCCCAGATAATAATTTTACACTGTTTTAGCACGGTAGCCATGGAAGATTGTTTTTTAATGTTACACACTGCGTCAGGGTTATTTTGAATATTTAGTGGCAGCTTAAATACTGAATGAGCTGTTCTGCCTCCATCCAATAAAGTTGGAGGAGCATTTGCATTAGTATTTTCTACTCTGAACACAACCATATCACTGCCTTTATGGACATACTTGCAAATATATTTGATGCTCTTCACAGAACAGCAAAACTCAACATTAATATGAGCATTGTATGTCTTGCTTAGAAGAGGTGAATACAGAACCACCCAACGATTGTCAATGTCAATGTCTGTGTTACTGATATTTTTAATAAATGAGTATCCGCCATTATCGAGACTTCTTCGACGATATATTGGATATTCGTCGGTATTTGTTATCGTATCATTAGTGAAATCTTTAGGTAAATTTTTAGTACATTTTCCATCTGCCATGCAAGGCGATGAACGATGAAGAGTACCACAGGGACCATGGATCATATTTGCTGTAACAATATCAAACAGCACTTGGTCAGTAGACGGATCTGGAATTTCCGCACAAATGATACTATTGATTTCTTCAGGATGGATTTTGTCGATTAACCAAACCAAAATGTGCGCATGAGGTAATCCCCTCTTTTGCCATTCAACTGAATACAGCCAGCAACGTGTGGGACCGAATACATGTAATTTAGTAATGTAACTTATTAGAGACTTCAACTTTTGTCTGAATACATGTGCTGTAATGTTATGTATTGCATTTTGACCAGGCAATAGCAAGTAATCTCTGGCCATTTTGGATTACATGTGAACGTGATAAATAAACACGGTCGTCCATATTCGCGCACGTAAGCCATAGCATCCTGTATACATTCTTCCATATGACGTGGACTGCCTATATACGATGATGGTATTATTATGAATAAATTAGTAATAATTAATAGTTATTATGAGAGTTACACAGAAATATAAAATTGATAATTGTGAACGTTATTACTACACTTGATGCATAAACAATAATCATGAATGGCCGAAAACTGTATAGGGAGTGAGAGAAGTCTTATGTGAGTAAAACAGGAGACCGGCTTCAGTTTATGGTGTAGTGTGGTATTTCACTCACCAGTAAAGGTGCAGCAAATTTGAAGAATCTAAGATTGGTAACACTAAGCATATATATCAGGATTAAACTTTAATAAAAAAAATAAATGTTTATTTTCTTAAAAAACATTTTAGATTTTTAATCGAAGTACAGTTAAAAACACTCTAATTGTGTTTACAGATGAAAAATGATTAAATTACTAATAGTCATAAAAAATAGGGGTTGATAATAAAAAAGTGAAAGTTTAGGGATGTATGTATTTTTTAATGCAACATTATAAAAAAACAAAAATAAAAAATTTCGTCGAGAAATTAAAAAAAATTAAGGGTGAACAACCCTTATCACTTAGGGGTATGAAAAATAGATAGTAGCCGATTCTCAGATCTATTGAATGCGCATATAAAATTTGGTAAAGATCGGTAAAGCCGTTTCGGAGGAGTACGGTAACTAATATTGTGACAGGGAAATTTTATCTATTAGATTATAATATGTATTTTTTAATGCAACATTTGAAAAAAAATAAAAATAAAAAATTTCGTCGAAAAATTAAAAAAAAAAGGGTGCACAACCCTTATCACTTAGAAGTATGAAAAATAGATAGTAGCCGATTCTCAGACCTATTGAATGCGCATATAAAATTTGGTAAAGATCGGTAAAGCCGTTTCGGAGGAGTACGGTAACTAACATTGTGACAGGGAAATTTTATATATTAGATATATAGGTGTATATATATATATATATATATATATATATATATATATATATATATATATATATATATATATATATATATATATATAATATATATATATATATACTATTCCTAATAATAAATTTTCTTATATAAATAAATATGAATATGTAAAAAAACTTACTTTCATTGTCGGTAGCTGTAACTGACTTATTTTTTAAATTAGCTCCATTCAAAAATCCCCAGTTAGTTCCTCCGTGAAACATATAGAAGTTGACTGATGCTCCAAAGTTTAAAATACAGTCTAACACCTCTCCAAAGTTATCGGCAGTTCTAGTATGATGTCTTTCTGCCCAATGGTCAAACCATCCTGTCCAGTATTCCATAACCATTAAAGGCTTATTAGGTTGGAAGTTTTTTAAAAGGGTAAGTTCTTTTTCGGGTTCGTGCTGAAAGTTAGCAGTAGCTAGTACTTCAGGAACTGTACCAGTAAAACCATTTGAAGGAGTGTCGGAAGTAAAAAGAAGTTCAACTATTCCGTTTTCTTGTAAAATATCTTTTAGCTGCTTCAAATGTTTCGTGTCAATTTTATTTGATTCATCCGCTAGGTTACCATATTCATTTTCTATTTGAACGGCTATTATGGGCCCGCCTTTTGTAAACTGAAGTGGAGCAACAATTCTCAAAAGTTTAATAAAGTACCTTTTGACTAAGTTTACATACTTTGCGTCGCTAGTTCTTATCTTAATCCCATCGTATCGTAATAACCAAGAGGGCAAACCTCCAAAATCCAACTCGGCACAAATATACGGACCTGGTCGAAGTATTACGAACAGGTCTTCCTCTTTAGCTAATTTAATAAACATGTCAAGATCAAGGAAATCTTGAAAATCACTGCCACCTTGACCGAAATCATAAATCCCATCTTCATACTCGTGTAGGTTCCAAGGAATATACGTTTCAACTGTGTTTAAGCCGGCTGCCCGATATTTTCTTAACCTGTCTTTCCAATAATCTCTAGGAACGCGAAAATAATGCAGAGCTCCACTAAGAATGGTTATTTCTTTGCCATTAAGTGTAAAATAAGGTTTTTTGTCATTCAAACCCGATTGTATTCCGCCATCAGTAAAATATTCGTATAATGTAGATATTTTGTCACTTTTAGACACCGTATCAGCCATTTTAATTTACTAAACACAAACGCAACGCAACACAAACCTGAAACCACCAACGCAATGAATATGAATATGCGCATTGCGCATTGTAGATAGTAGATTGTAGCTCAACATCACAAGTCTAGTGTAGAGTTGAGAGGGGTTAAGATTTTAGCGGCGGTTAGTAACTGAACGTGTAAAAAGAACTTATTTACTTAACAGGAAGAAAAATTATATTGTTTACGTACTATATCTATAACTTTATTCTAATATAACGCTTTGATGTTTTAATGGATTTAGATATATTACCTACATGTACTTACTATGTTAAGTACCCGTTTTATACGCATAAATTATTATACATATTTAGTGATCTTGTTTTTTGAATTTTCTACAGTTATTTACTTTAAATTAGGTACAATAATAGACATTTCTAAATAAATCTTTTTCTTATTTCTTAATAACTTTAAGGTCAGTTTTTTAAATATCGTCAAATATCGAGTAGGTTAATTAGGTGATAGACATGTGATAGGTACCTTTATAATATTTAAATATTCTTTATTATGGATAGTCAGATTTTTATTTTGAAGTACCTAATTCAACACCTTAACTAGGATTTTGTTGTGACTCATTTAATAAAGTTGCATTGTTTTCGAGGTTCTCTAGGCTCCGAAATTATTTCTTTTCGACGCTGTGCCTGCAATGGCAGCAGACCTTATGAATGAGGAAGCGATTCTTTATTTTTAAATATTTAGTTTAGGTTGCCAAACGACGCTCATCTCAATTTAGTTAATTCTAAATAATAAAATTGTCAACTCCTTATTCTCTTTCATTTGTCCTTATTTTTGTTATTCTGTAATTCATATTGAACCATTTTTTGGCTTGTTACTGTAGTTATCGAAACATTCATCTTCTTTTACTTCTACTTTGGATGTCGTATGCTATGCAGCATGTAGGTGTGTTCATTCTGATTGGATTATGCGTAGACATCTTTTTTGGCTCTTCTTATTATTGTACTGGTATCAGGTATGTCGTAACAGTTTCTTATGTTTCTGAACCTGGTTCACTTCAACCTTCGATGTTTCCTGTAAAAATGGTTTTTAAAAGATTATAAGTATTTGTTTTCTCTTAAAATATGGCCTAGATATAATATCTTTTGGTGTTTAACGATGTTTAAAAACTCCTTTTAGGTATTAGATCTTTAGTCTCGCTACCGTACATTATTATTTACCATATAATTATGTCAGAGCGAAACATATTCTACGAAGAACAAGGCGAACTGCCACTTGTATCGTTGGTTCGCACTGAGGATCAACGGGCCCCACAGGAGGAAGGCAATGCAGAACCCGCGAAAATTTAAATCTTAGTATTGTATACACCAGAGGTCACCAATTATATTTCGTAAGGGTCCGTTTCAAAAACCTACTACAATTCTGCGGTCCGGATACTCAGCACTAAACCAGGCAGCGGAGCAACCGGTGGGGGAAGCTTACCCAGAAACTCTCCAGTAGTTGTAACCCCCTTCATGAGATCATCCTCGTTACCTAGTTGAAACCAGGCCACTAGGCCACCTCGTTTAGGAAGTTGTACATTAGTTTAATTAAATTTAAAATTAATGGTTACAATAAGTCTAAAACTAAAGCTAAAACTCCTTACAAAATTAAACAAACTATTAGTAAGAAAAATGGCACTTTTCGTTTTGTACAACCTGTCTGAAATTTGGAGTGAGGTTAGTGCAACTGACTCCCATTAGGAAGCCAAGATGTTATCTGTCAACCGAGATCTGTACCGATTTTTAAGTTCATTTTTGAAAAAGCGGCTTTGAACACATAAGTTGAGCCAAACGTAATACACAGTTTCTGTTTCTGTTTCAAGCAAGCATTTCTGGAACTTGGGTATAAACCTCCTTTGAAGCGGAATCTTCCTGATACTCGATAATTTCCATCTGAAGGGAGATTTGTTACGCTTAAAAACGTCTGCTGCTTCGCTGGTCCATACACCATTCGGCTTGAGTGAAAAACTGTTGCTTAACAATTACACAACATTTTGTGTTGACAGCTTCCCTGTTGTAGTTTGCTAAAATATCATTTTTAGGTAAGTACTACCTGTAATTTTGGTAAAACCGTTTAGTCGAAACATTGTTTAGATTACGAGTATTTCTATATAGTATTAGTGCATTTTTAAAATGTAAAGATATTTATATATTTAGATTTGATTATAATTTTACACTATGATTTTATTACTTTATTTTGAATTTAACGATGGTCCGCAAAAAACAAGCTCACGGTCCGGATGCGGGCCGCGGTTCGCCATTTGGTGACCCCTGGTATACACCACCGACACATCACGGGTCATTAATTATTAGTTTTGAAGTTACTCTGCAGAGTAGAAATTATTTCTACATGATATTTGTTGTCATATTGTTCTAAAAGATTTTGAGATATTCTTTCTGAATGAATAGGAAAATGCTTGGAATCGCTGTTAATTAGGTTTTGTTCCCAAAACTCCAGCCTTTTGATAAATGCTTTTATATCAGAAATCATTTCCGCTAGTTCTTTGTCTCTCCCTGAAGCTGCAAATTAAGTTCGTTTAATTTCTCTGTAATGTCAACGAGAAAACCAAAATCTCTAAGCCACATTGAATTTTCTAGTTCCGGAGTCAGTTCATCGCGTTGTTTGAAAAATTGAACTATGCCAGATAGGACATCATTAAAATGTTTCAGCACCCGTCCTCTACATAACCATCGGACTTCAGAGTGAAGGAGTAGGTCCCCGTATTGACAGTCAACTTCATCGGCCAAGGTTCTGAATAATCTTCTTTGTAACGCTTGAGCTCTAATCTTGTTTACAATTTTTACCACCAGCTTCATAACGTTGTTTAGTTTCAGGAAATTTCCTCATAATGCTTGCTGATAGATAATGCAGTGGTAACAGAGAAATTGCGAAAAAGTTTCATCTTTACGACATAACGTCACCAGACCCTTATCACAACCCAACATAGCTGGAGCGCCATCGGTTGTCAAGATTAACCATTTTCTATATTGGAAATGTTCTCGGAAGAAATAATATTTTTTAAATGAGAAAACAACTCCTGTCCAGCAGTGTGTCTTTTCAGTGGAATGAATTTCAAAAGATCTTCTTTAATTGTAAAATCACTAAAAACCATCCTGACGAACACGGCCATCTGGGCAGTGTCAACGACATCTGTTGATTCATCCAGTTGAAGTGAAAAATAAATACAGTTATCTAAGCCAGTTCTTAACTGTAAAAAAATATTATTGCTCATTACTTCTACACGTCTCATCACTGTATTAGCATAAAGTTGCATAGATTTTATAGCTAAAAATATCTCGTCTTTATTTCTAAAGTTGACAAATAAAGAATCAGCAGCTTCTAAAAACGCCTTTTTTATCATTTCCCCGTCTTCAAAGGTTTCTTTTTTTGTGCAATTATCTGGGACACATGGTACGATGTTTCAGTTGCAGCCTTATTTTTGTCGATTGTTCTTAAAAATATTGATTGTTGTCCAATTAACTGTTTTTTTTAACTGTTTCAGTTTCTCCTTTCTGGCGGCAGAATTTAGTGGGAATGATTTTTCAAAATTAGAAAATACAGTTTTATGATGTCTCTCAATATTTCCTTTTTTAGCAACGGAGACCGAAGTATTACATAACAAACACACATTTTTATCTTTAACTTCTGTAAAAAAGTATTGTTCTTCCCATTCCGAATGAAAGTGGTATGTCTTTACCTTCTTACAACTGCTTGCCATAATCTTATTTTTGTTGTTCTCTACTAACCCAACCGCTGGACGTTGGTTACGCGTTCAGTTTTAAACTAAGCGCAATGTCGCCGCGCCGTGCGTATTTATCCCGTTTAAAGCAATCCAGATCGTTCTCGAACACTAAGGCGCTGGTCCGGCTGGTCGGTTCTATAAATAGCCGATTCTAGCTTGAAGGCGTCAGGGTCAGATCGCTCACCGCAACGTTGCCGCTGTTTATGTTTAATATTATGACAATTAGATTTTTTTGTGGAATTTTCGGAAGCTTCTCTGATTTTTGCAGTTTGTATTTTTTAAATTAAAATCGTTGTGAGAGCTACCAGAATTGCCTCCGCGAGCTACCGGTAGCTCGCGATCGACAGGTTGGCGACCACTGATCTATATGATCCATATGTTCTTTTTTAAACATGGAATTATATGAATATTTGCATTATCTTTTGTGACGTGTATTTTATTTTTAATACCACATGGATTAATATGTCTCTAAATATCTTACTGCGATCCCTACTCCGTTGATACTATTGTCTTCGTTATAATAATTAGTGTATAGCTCTTCCCCTAATTCCATAAGATTTCCTTTTTCATTTAAGCATCTTATATTGTATTACATTTGGCATTTTTTATTGGATTTCGTACGCGAGGTCTTGTCTACTCCAGAATCCTTAAGACAGACATTTTTAATATATTACTTTTGATAGTAGATATTTTAGTCACCTGAGAAATATATCCAGATATATGTATAGGTACATGCCATGAGGTTTTTAAAGAGAGTTTATTAGCCATATTCTTACCTGGTGGGTTTGAATCTTACATGTTGGGATGGATTGAAAGATTTTGGACTAGATTAGATTAGATTTTCTTAATTCTTTAATCATCTTAACATAGGTAAGTATCTTAAATCCAATAAACCTTTAAAAAATATCTTTCATGTCATTATTTTTAATTATTGGATTTTAATACCAACATATTAATAATAAATAGTAAAGCTATTTTTTATAGGTAAGTAAATACATATAAGTACTTAAACATATTAAAAATAAATTTTAAGTATGCTTAAGTAATATTTACGCCAGATATAAGCATTAATAAGACAGTGTTTAAAAAATAAAACTCTTAATTCCTTTTTATACGATAAGATAAATATACAATAACATATAAATACTTGACACGAGCCAATACACAACGTACAACAATGTCTTTAGCCAGTGTAAACGCGACGGCTGGTTTACCCACCAACTATGGGTACT